ATATATAAATCTGTCAAGATATATTCTTGACTTGACTTCAGCTTTATTTTTGTAATTCCTATTCTTATCTCACAGAAGTTTCCAGCTTGTTTGTTTTTTATAATAATAAATAATGAATTGCATTTTCTATAGTGGTATGAGTATAGGCAAAGAAATCAGACTTTAGTACAATTTTTCCATTGATTTTAATCTAAGAAGAAAATAATAAGTTGTCTTAAGCCAAAAAATCATATGCTTGCTTATTTGTTGAATTAATTGGAGGATGTGAATCCTTTTTGCAAAACTGGGCATATGTAGAGTCTCAGCCCTCATTGTAGTTGCTTATCAGTTTATTGATAAATAATCCCATTCTTGCTAGCCATCTGTTTGTTGTTCAGACAGCTGTGCTCCAGTTATTTTCTGATATTTTCCAGATATTCATGATCCAGACCTTTTTCTTCCTGCTGATTTTGTTTCACATGTAGACAGCTTTGATAGTAAACTGCACTTGACTTTACTGCTTTGTTTTCAAGCAAGCACAGGCAAGCGAGGCTTGAACTGCATATTTGATTCAAGTGATAGAAGCCAAATAGATCACTGTGGAAAATTAATCACGATTATTTTATTTTTAATGTTATTCCCTGAATAATTTTCACACACCTTAAAACGGAAGGGTAATAGATGTGGACATTAAATACATATAAACCCTCTTGGCCAACTCAAGTCCTGCCTTAACTTGAGCCCAGCACACACCCAGTGAGATGTGGACCTGCCAGTTTTGGCAGTTTGTCCTTTATGGTGACAATAGAAGAGGCAGCAAATATTTGAGCCAAGGCTGTGCTTACAGGGGGAGAGTTCCTGGTGGTTGACAGCAGTGGTGCCATTGTCAAGTCTTCAAATATACAGCACATAATTGAGGGAAGAATCCCCTTGCTGGGCTTTGGTGTTGGACCAGGGTTTTGGAAGAGCACAGCACAGGCAGTTTATTCCCTTTGGACTGGGTTTTCCCTGCTGTCCTGGCAGCTGTCAGGATCAGAGCTGCTTTCTGCACACTTCAGAGCAGTGTTTGAGCACAGAGAACTTGTTAACTGAACCCAACTGCACCTTATTCAGATCTCTGAGGAAAAAACATCATGTATGTTGATTTCTATCAATGTATACGTACACAAACACACAAAAAGTGAAGCAATTCATGCTGTAAAGAGAAACCAGGATACAAGGAACCAAGGAGTTGGCAAATGATGAACAAGTATATATTTTCATCTTTTTTAGCAATTTAGAGCACATACTCTCCTAATTAATCCTATTTTTTTCACAGGAAACAAGACACACCACCAACAGCTCAACTTCCTGGGAGTAGCTGATGTTTTAAGACATTTGAAGTGAAGCCCTTAATAAAATCCTGGTTCTGTTGAAGTGGATTTGACAGTTATCATGGACTTGAATAAAGCCAGAGAGACACCCCTATTATTCCAAAAACAGAGCTACTTTCTCTTTGACCTTCAAGGTCTACCTGAGATAAGCCAGCAGCAATGAAGTTGTACTGAAGGTGTAGTATTGCTCATGATGTTCTTTAAGCAAGCACAGCAGTGCACGTGGAAAAGGCTGTCAGCAGGCTGGTTATCACCACTTGTCACTGTCACAGAGGTTTTGCATTGCTGTTTAGTCACTGGGTCAGTTAACTGCTGCTGAAAGATGAAGGGTTGGATATAAATGATGTAAATGTTCATGAATAGGTGCATTGCACCGTGATACTGTCTGTCACTCAAATTCACAGAGTGTAGAAAATGTTATTCCTTGCTAGAGGAGCTTGGTTCCAGCAGTTTGAGGGGATTTCTCATTGTTAAATGCTAATGAATCCAAACAGACAAGATGAAGTGCGAAGATTTTACCTGAGGAGAAAGTAGCAAACATGGGCAGGGATAAATGTTAAGAGAGGACATTCACACTACAGGCAAAGGAGATCTGGAAAGTCATAGAAATGAAGGCAGAATTCCCTGGGGCTTCAATGCAGCCAGGGTTTCACTCTTGATTCCTCAGCTGGGCACTTGCTCCCTCCAAGTTTTCACATGCATTCTCTCCTCCCTTGCCTCGCCTCTCAAAGTGGTATTTGCACACCTTGGAAACAGAACAGTACAGCTGCTTCCATTCCAGGATTTGGCTTGTCTTGAAACCACAAGCAATGCCAGAAAATGGGATTTTTGTAATTGGAAAAAGCAAATAAATAGTAAGTCAGTGATCTGAATCAATCCCCTTAGCATAGACAGTAACTGTACCTGTTTTAGCATCCATGTGGTAGCAAAGCACTTAGTTTGGATTTATTTCATCCAGGACAACCTAGTGGTTGATTAGCATCTATTACCACCTCTCTCCATCAGTCTTCCTGCATTTTTAACAGTATCACAGAGACAAATACAGTTTTAGGAGAAGAAAAGAAAAACATTAGCTAGTTTGTGTGTTTGTTTGCAACCAGAATGGCAGAAAGACTCCATCTTCCAAAAGGGATTTTCTTCATAGTTCAGACATTCAAAGGGTGTCTTTAGGCTGAAAGGATATGGTTTCCTTTTTCAGACTGTTGGAAAGGTGTCTTTCCTTTACTTTTAAACCAAGGAATTCAGGAGCATAATTTTTAAATTATGTGCTCATATAACAGAGGCCATTTGTTCTGTTTTATTAAAGAAACATGTAGCACTTACACTTTTCCACAGTATTTCTTATGGACTGAGAGAATCAGAAGACAATTTTGGAAAGTTGGAAGTGCTTTGCAGCTGGCTGGGTGTAAACTAAGAACTTCTGCTAATTCGGCCCCAAATTCCAACGGCTGAAAGAAGATCTTTTTGTAGAGAAACTTCTCTTTATTTTTGCTATTTAAAACAAACAAAAACAACCAGAAAATATTGAGGAAAATAGTCCTTTGTACGTCAGGGAACCCCAGCAAATTTAAAGGCAGAGAAAAGGAACTTTAGATTTCATAAATGGTTCTTGTGAATGTACCTTCCCCATCCCAGTGACTGTAATTTGATTTTTCCTGTTGACTGCCTCGCTGCTGCTGTGAGGAGTACGAGGTGCCTAATGCAATCATAACTTGCCATCTCGTGGCTTATTTGGGAATTACCACAGTTAAATTTCTCAACAATCACTTAAGGATTACAATCATTTATTTAGGAGAGGATTCCTGTTTGTCCCTTCAGCATCCCTTACATGGAAAGACTGGATACCTTCAGGTAAGGGTTGAGACCCTGGAGGGTCCCAAGGCTGGATCAAGCTGAAGGAGCAGGTGATGGGCTGCCCATATGGACATGGAGAAGGAATACAAGGAGGTGTTAGAAGACCCCAGACCACAAATAGCCACTGGACTAAGAGGGTGTGCAGGGCACACGAAGCCCGGCGGGTCCCCCCTGCCCTCACCACAGACTTGGAATGATGCCTCCTGACCACAGCTGTAAATTCTGATCAGTACTGAGGGACAGGAGGATGTAACCCCAGCGTCTGAACACATTTGCAGCTTGCCTGACTTCACACTGGATATTACCCCAGCAAAATACCTGGCCCGTGGTTTTGTAGAAGTAACTGCAACTGGTCTTACCCTCGTTCAGTTTCCTCAAAATCAGTGTATTTCTGGACAGGCTCATCCCACGCTCACAGAGCTCCCTGAAGGAAACAACATGAAAGATGCTCACTCCTTCCAGCAGATCCGAAATGCAGCCCCACTCCCTTTGCAGTCAGGTGGGGAACAGGAACAATAAATGGCTCTGTGACACAGAACTGTGGAGGAACATTGGGTGCAGCTGAGACACAGGTACAACACACCGCCCCAGCAGACAAGGAACAGAGCAGATGCACTCAGCTGCATGAGGCTCCATCCTCACTGCCCTCTGACTGCTGGGCTGTGCTGCTGTCACAACGTTCAGCCAGCAGCTGCCACTGGCCAGGCAGGGAACTGCCAGGACACCTGTCAGGCACTGGGTGAACACAGCCCAGGTATCCCTGGAGACGGCTGAGGAAGCAGCTGAACTCTGCCACTGATGTCACCAGTGCCCTCCTCTCCAGGCCCCATGCACAGCTCTCCCTGTGTTATGACAGCAGGGATAATGTTGTTGGAGACAATTATTCTGTGGGTTTAGTGCTGTGGCAGAAAGGGGTGTTTCATGCCTGATGCTGTGCCCTCTCCCAGTGTGTTTTTAGCATGATTGTTGGCTACTTATATGTTGGCTGCTTACTTGTTTGGCTACTTACAAATTCAGTGCAAAGACTGTTCTGTCTTCTGCTGTATGTGCAAAGTGCAAAGTCACCCAGCCCTGCACGGGACTCAAACTAGGAAAAAAGTGTAGTTTTTATCACTTGAGCCCTCAATTTTAATTTAAGGAGTGCTTAAAAAATTGTAAGGTACAGACTGTTGAAAAATCTCTCTTCAGAGTAGAATCAGGGTGTGCTCTGAACAGCAAGAGGGTGCTGAACACTCAGCTGTTCTTTGAGGACTGAACTGCTGCAGCCCTTTACAACCTGGTTGAACAAGTGCTCAGGTTTTCCTAACAAGTCTACCAGCTTTTGGCCGTATTTATAGCCAAGAAGCAACTGCAATCAGGGGTACTACTGTTTGTGACTGTGTTTCTTGTCATCTCGCATGACACACAGATTGTCTGCATGCAGGGGTGAGATCTCCTCTGGAGTTCATTAACCTGGGAGTCAGGCTGTGTTTGTTGCATTTTGAGCACACTCAGAACCAGGATAGCTCTGATAATTTTGTCAATAGTGTTCAAAGCAAAAGAGATCACAGCAAAGATTTTAGAAAATGTATGTATTGAACACCTCACACTGCTTTGGAGCCAGCTTTGCAAGCAGCAAAGTGCCTGCATGGCCAGGTCAGTGCCCCACTGGTGGCAGTGCCTGTGGGTGGGCACTGATGGGGACCACAGCTTCCCCCAAAGCACCAGCCCATGCACATACTGTGCCTCACAGTGTCACTCTGAGAGGCTGAACTTGCCCCAATAGCCTGTTGAAGGAAGGGAAATAACTGGAGGTGACATTTGACAAGTTAGTTTTTATTCAGTGCACTGGACTCGTACATCACTGCTTCGTCAACTAACAACATTTCACACATTCCTGTAAAAACAACGCCCAGTCCAGTCTCTTGTTAAAGATGCTCGGTGTAAAATGTAATGCAGTCTATCAAATATTTCCTTTTGTAGGTACAGCTTAGAGCCCAGTAACAGGCTGTGTCCAGCACTTTCACTGCTGAGTTCCAGCAGTGGGTGGAGAATGGATCTGTTACTCAGGGTTGGTGCAGGGCTTTGTTAACAAATGTCTAAACCCAGCTCATTAACATCTGAGAGTCTATCAGAGTGCTGCTGCTCGTTTGATTATGCCAGTGCTTTGAGCATGGGTGGAGCTGCAACTACAAAAACCCTAATGCACTGCAGCACTGGAGAACCTGATTTGGGCTGGGGCAGCCTGTCTGTGCTCCGTGCTGAGGACAGTCACACCAGCAGCAGGCACAGCACACCTCACCCTGCCCCCACAACTGGGCCAGCAGCAGCAGTCAGAGCAGCACAGCAACCCACAGAGAAATGCAAGGTGCTCAGGCCTGACTGTCAGGGCGAAGCGAGACATTTTCAGGGTGGAGGGTCTTACACTGCAAACCTCTGGGCAGGGATGCCTGCAAGCACAACAAATGGGGCAGTTGGGTGGATGCTGGGGATTGCTGGAGCATCCCCACTGGTGCCACTGCTGGGGCACATCCCTCAGGTCCACACATGCTCTGCTCCTGTTCTCCCATGTGGGCGGGCACAGCATCCTCAGCCTTGTCCCACCCACGGGACAACACAGGGAAGGCTCCATGGGTATGGCCTGGAACTGGCACCCCCTCCCACTTGCAAGAGTCACCCTGGTCAGCACAGGGTGCCCTGGCAGGACAGGGATGGTGCCAGCCCTACGGCTCCCCAGCAGAGCTCTGCCAGCAAATCCATCTCCGCTCACACACTTCCACCACCCCACTCATGTCCCACCTGCCCTGTGCTCTGGCCCCAGCTCTCACCCTGCCTTGTCCCTGCCCTCCATCGCTCGTTCACTGTGGGTGTAAGGAAGGAGACGGCACATTGCCAAATCAGCTATCTCAAAGGGAATCTAGCGACTTTTATTGAGCCCCTGCCAGGGCCTGCACTGCTGGGGGCAGTCCCTGTGACGAGCACGCCGTCCTAGGGCATGGTGACCGTCCTAGGGCATGGTGACCGTCCTAGGGCATGGTGACCGTCCGTCCGGCGCTCCTGGCTGCTGTAAAGCGCCTCTTATTCCTCAGACCAGAGAACCTCTCATCCAGCGTCAGGCTGGTCTGCAGGGGAAAGGGAGAGCGAGTCAGTCCCACGTCTGGTGACAAAGCACAGCCCAGCTTGTAGCGGGGTATTGATTAGAGCCCATCAGTCAGGACGGTGTTTCACAGCCGGTTAGTCAATTAAACCACGCAGCACACACGGGGACAAGGAGCTCGACAGACTGTGTGCGGCTGGAAAACCTCCAAGCAGCTCCCAGCCCCGGGACACCGGGCGTCCTCGGCAAGAGCAGGAGCAAGCAGATGGCACTGGAGCACAAGGCATCAGGGGAAACCAAACCGTCCAGACAAGAAACGCCGGCAACGAAGAAGGCGGAGCAGGATTTCTCAGCTGCCCCAGGGCTCTTGGACCAAACTCCAGTGTGAAACGGGGCACCCAAGAAGGTCACCCAAGCAAAGAGCGAGCAAAGCCCAGAAGTGCCATGTGTCTCTGAGGAGTGGGGAGCACCGACACTGAATCAGTCCCCCCTGGCCAGGATCACCCACCAGCAGGATCTCCCCGCTCTGAGCAAGCACATGGACAGGCCTTGCAAGGCAGACCAACAGAATGGGAAAAATTGGGCTGAGTCTGTAGTTGCTCAACAGTCTTCTCGAGCGCCTTCAGTTTTGCCAATAACCTGGCCCACAGGGCTACAGGGCTCTCCTCCCGGGCTGTGTTAGACAAACCCAGCTGGCAGCCCCAGAAACCTGAGCGTGGTGTTAACAGCTTAGTGGCAGGGCTGCTGCAGGGTGCCAGGTGCCGCCTGTGCCGTCGACAATCCTCTACCTGGTTGGCCATGGCACGGAAGTTGAATCTCAGCATCACCCCCTTGGGCTGGGGCTTGGTCACCCGCGCTGGGGGCCTCTGGCTTCGCAGGAACGGGCGCTTGGATCCGGGCCTGGGGAGAGCACAGACCTGCAGTCACGCTGGGTGCTGAGGCAGCTCCCTCCCTACGCTCTGCAAACCAGCACGGAGTGAAGGAGACACCTGCACACCCCATACGTCCCACCCAGGGCATGTCTGACCCCTGGCAGAGTCAAAAGGCTGCCAGGAGGGCTGCTGTGCAGGCAGAGAGCCAGCACTGGGGACGGTGTCACGTCCAGGCTATCGTGGGGTGATCTCTGCACCCAGGACATGCACAGTGCACTCGCCCACCCTCCTCTCTGCCCCCACCTGGGTGCTGGGTCCTGCAGCTGCACCAGCTCAGCCCTGAATCTGTTCCCTTCCAGCTTCTGTGTTCCTCTTACACAGCATTTCCCTGACAGCCCACGAGGAGCATAGCCAGCCTGACACCTCCCCTGTGCTCCAGAGCTTCCATTTCTCCATAACAAAGGAGCAGCACGGTAATTACAAATTACCGTGTAATTACAGGTAAACACAGGAGATCTTTATCTCCTTCAGATAGGGGAGGGAACCAGACATCATTTGCTAACCATTTTGGGTCTGAACCGTTGTACACTCATTTACAGAAGTGAAGCTGCAATAAAGCTAAAGGGATTTGCAATGGCTTTTGTAGGGCTCCCACCCCAACAAATCACGTCATTTACTTACCCGCTGCTCTGGCCCGCCTGGGGATTAACCACAGAAACCGTCAGAATTGCTCCCGGGCTGGGTTTCACTTGCCACCTGCCGAGACAGGGAGATTTATCCAGCTTCAAGCGTGAAAGAGCACGTCGTGTTTGCATTGTGCCTTTGTTCACCAATTACCTTCTCATCCTTGGCGGTTTTCCTTGTCCTTGAGCATCCATCTGCTGTGAAATACATTTTTTAAAAAATTACTGAAAGAATTAGCTCTCAGAAACAATTATATCTCTTCCTGGATTTCATTTGGTGTATCTGAAGAGCTCCTTCCTTGCAAGTTGTCAAGAAATTTGCTAATTTGGGGTTTCCTGCTGTCACAGTGATCTGTATGGGGTGGCTTTACTTTGCCCTGTTTGTGCTGCTCTACAAACCACAAGGGTTTATTTTTTGCCACCCTCCCAGGATTTACCTTCCAGCTGCCAGAATATTAAGCCGCATTAAAAATCGTCCTGCAAATACTTCCCTAGCAATATCTGCAGTTTAAGTGATCCATCCCTCTTTACTTTTGGAAGCAGAGATACAACTGGGCTGGTAAAACTGAAGGCTTGTCACTCCCAGCAGGCTGCAGAAGAAATGTCTGGATACTGACCCCTCTCTGGAAGCGGGCTCTGGAGAACCACTGCTGCGCCCGCTTCTGCTGGAACGCTGGCCCCCTGTTCAGCCGGAAAGGCCTGTTGGTAGAGGAGAGAGAAAAGGACAGAGGTGAAGATGATGCCAGGTCTCCCCTAAAGTTTAATGCCAAAATACCTAACCCAAGCTGGTCTTAAAAAGCAGTGTAAGAAGCAAATGAGGCTGTGTGTTACCCAGTTCAGCCCAACAGGCTTTTCTGCCAGCGAAGGATTTCAGAGGAACTTGGTTTTCTGCTCAAATGAGCTTGTGTGTTCTGAACTCTGCTCATGAAAAATAAAATAAAATAAAAAATCATAGAAGAAAATAGGAGAAAAAATCAGGTCAGAAGGGACCTCTGGATATCCTTCAGTTCCTACTCTGCTCAGAGCAGAGAAAGACAGGATCTCCTTTCCAGCTCGGAGAACACAAGGATCCTGATGAGACAGGCACCAAGGCAGTGCCCAGTGCCCAGCAACCTGCCTTCCTGGCAGCTCCTGGGCACAGAGTCTGCTCCTGCAGCCCCTCACTGGGACAGACTTCCTCTCTCTGCCTATCCCTTATGACTGGAATCTGTATTTCCTGCCTTTATGAAAATAAATGCTGTTTCACCCTTCATCCTTCAAAAGTGTTCCCCAAGGCGACAGAGGAAAAGTTCAATAAAAATAGCAGGGTCTCATTTTCCATGCTTCCTAAAATGAAATGACAGATCTAATATCTGCATTATTAGCTATGAACTATTAACTTTTTTCACTGTTTTCTTTCCAGGTGCTTTCCAGGGGTATTTTTCTCGTGCTGCACAAGCACGTGTCTGTAGCCACTTCCAGTTGGCACACAACAAAAGCAGAAACCCATGAGCTGCAGGGGGAATTCCTGAAAAGAAAAAAACCCCAGTGTTACCAAAGATTTTTTTTTTTACCTTTTCCCTGGGGTGTGGGTGCTGGCAGCATCTGCTCTGAATCTCTTGGGGCCTGGAGATGTCTGTGGCTGTTCCTCCTGCTGTCCACTGCTGCTTTTGGCAAAAGCACTGCTGTTCTTGTTGCCCTGAAAGATTGGTGAGAGCTCAGCAGTTGCCACAGTCTCAGTACACGAACAGGGTGACAGCAGCCAACTGTCCTCTCTCCACTGGCTGCTGTGCCTGACTCAGCACACACTGCTGTGCACAGTCACTCACTCTGTGTGCCTCCTTCCTGGGCATGGAACTACAAGTGCCAGGAAGAGTGTTCTGTTCTAACGGTGCAGAAATTAAAAACAAACAAACAAACAAACAAACAATCAGTCCATGGAGAGCAAATCTCGCAGAGGCTGAGCATTAGAGCCGTGCTCAGGTTTCCTTTTGCTCATCACCTCTTTCTTGTTTAGGCACATCCAGTGCCCAGGCCATGTCCTGAAGCATGGAGCACATCAGAAGGCCCCTCAGCAGTGTCTGTCCTCCTGCAGTTCCAACACAAACTGCCCCAGGCTCCAGCCCATTTATGTCTCTGGAACAACCACCATCACTCTTACTCTCTGCTCAGCTGTGTTTCCATATCCTTCCTCCTTCGTTTATTTCTGCAAAGTGGAAGCTACTGTAGAATTATGGCTCCCTAGCAACTGCTGATTACTTTCTGTAAATACCCAGCCACGCTCAATATCTGAGTCATCCTGGTCTTTATCTTCAGGAATAACCACACTCCTGGCACATGCCTGCTTAGCTTAGGGCTCTCTCATTTATACCCCCAGGACACAGCCACTAAAATGTGCCATCATGTTCAGCACTTGGGTTTTTTTGAAAAGCTTACTGAGCACCCATGGCCTGCTACAGGAGTGGATTTCCATCGGTGCAGAAGAAACCAATTGCCTCTCAGGAGGCCTATCTGCCACAGGAATCATTCTGTCTTGTGGGGATTGCCCACTTGTTGGTGGAAAGCATGTCTCTGAACCAAAGTCACCTGATAAGTGACCAACAGTCTTTCCTTTGACTTTCCTTTGGCTCTGGGTGGAGAAAAAAGAATGGATCTTAATATACCTCCTTTAAACAGTAATAGTAAGATGAGATCCCGTGGAATTCATTTGTATGGAAATATTTTTAAATCTTTTAAGACCAATTTTTAAAAAAAATCTTTTTTTTTTTGCAAAACCCAGGGGAACTGATCAGTAAAATTATGCTAAGTGAGAAGCTTATAAAACCAACTGGAAATTGCTGTTCCATATGCATGTATGTCTGCACTCCTCTATGCATACAAATGCTGTGCACAGGCATATAAAAGATGGTGCCTGTACCTTTTTATGTAAATTGTTCTTTGGGGTGATCCAGGTTCATAAAATCAAGCAGATTTCTACATGACATTTGGGAAAAGCTGTCCCTTCCTTATTCCCCTACCTCCTGAGCTGATGCCTGGCGATTTAAAGGGCTCACTCCACTGAAGGCAGCAGCTGCTCTTCTCTTGCGACCAGGCAAAATATTCCTGAACTGTCTCTTATTGTATTGTTGCTGTCCAAACCCTCTTCTGAAACGGTTAGGTCCTACGAAAAAAACCCAAAAACAAACTATTATTTTAGTGTCTCTCAAAATTTGATTTATGATTACAGTTTTGCAAATGGATTACAAGGTCAATTTAATTACAACACAGCGGTATCTATACAAATAGTGGTGCAAGAATCACATTAACTCTTTCCAAAAAATATTAAATAATCAATCTTTCCAATGTCTCCCTAACATTCTTATTCTGTGTAGGACTGACACACACGTTATTTGATGTGAAAGAACAGAGAAGAGAAAAGCTTTCCACAATTCTGATTCTTCATAAAGGCAGGAACACCCACATCAGGAGACCTGTCAATCTGTCATCAGAGCTCCCTTTGCTGTGAATTAACTACAAAACAGAAAAAGCCTTTTGATACAGATTCACGAGTGACTCGAGCATCCGGGAGCCAACCCCACAGCAGCCTGGAATAGCTCTGAGAGCCCACATTACAGCAGCTGGTAAGTGAACACTGAACCATGATTTTTATATATATATTTATTTTCTTTTAGCTTCCTGCACCTGTTGAAGAGGACACCTGCTGCTGCTGTTTTACGTACTGGCACAATACATCCACACCCAGCGTCCGTCCTCGTTTAACCTTTCCCCCTAAGCCTGTTGGTGATTTTGAAGTGTGCTGAAGCATTGAGGGAGAGGAAAGCACTCTGCCAGACCAAGGCACAGTGCTTTCAAGCCTAATCACTCCACGTGATGAACTTCTGCAGTCAGAACGAAACAGAAAGTTTCTGAGTCGCCCTGTGAGCTGACACAGGCGGGCAGCCAGAACAACCACAAACATCGCAGCCAAAATGCAAACAGGGAATTTATTTCCATCACCTCGCTAACCAGGGGGATCAGTAGATCCCTGAAGCAACACCTGGGCAGAGGCACATGAGCAGAGATGCTGCTCTGTTAAGTTTGGCCCAACATTAGATGGTCACAGGTTCACACAGTGCATCGAGGGTTTTGTGCATGCAGAGTTTACCACCAGGCTGCGTTTCGATCTCCTCTGTACCCAGGCCAGGGAGCTTGGTTTGCAAACCTTCCGTTCTTAGCTCTTTCCCCCCAGCAGTCTCTACACCAGTGAGATGTGCACATGTACTCAGGGGTGTATAAACCAGGCACAAAGCTGTGCAGGGCAGAGGGCAGTGAGAGTGCACTCAAATCCTGGACCATGGAGCAGAACCTCACTGGCACCGACCACAGAGCAGTTGGCTGCATCTTACACCACTGATTGCTGCATCACAGCAATTTATACTGACTTGGAGCAGTTAGAAATGAAGTGTCCTGAGGCAGCAGTGTCACCACCACAGTGATGACTGAAGGCTCCAGCCCCAGGGTGTAAATCAGAAGGGCACCAGGGCATGCCCGTGGGAAGCAGCTCCCAAACAGCACGTTGGGGTGCTTTGTGCTGTACGGCTGCAGATGCTTTAAGAGCACACACACACATGTGCAGTGAGGTTCTGTGGGGCCAGTAGTTATTTCCTCTGCAGGAGACACCCTCTCACTGCAAAAGTGCAGGTGTGTAAATGTTCCTCTCTTTACAAACACTGAATTTTGGCAAACTGTTTCTTCTTGACCAGATGTGGACTTGCTGTGTTTAACTGTCCTTTGATTTTTCCTCCTGCTTCTGTCCCCCCCCCCAGTTTGTTTCTGCCTGTTTTATTCTCTTCAACCACCACCCTGGGCTTGCCCCATTCTCTTGCCTATTTACCAGACTGCTCTCCTGCAGGCCACCAAGCCTTGCCACAGAGCCCTCCTGCCACCTGCAGAGGGCATATCCTCCACAGCAAGAGACTGAGCTCAGCTGCCTTTCCTGGGTATTCCATCAGGGCAATGGGAGGGACTGCTGCAGAAGGCAGCCCTGGCTAGAAAATCATGCCCCTGTCAGTCTGTTCCTATTAGAGAGCCTCTGCTCAGCAGTGCACTCAGGCACACCTCAGCCAACATAAATAACTCATGACAGAGCCATCAGCCTCTGAGGGGAACCCCGTGTACACCAGCTGGGGATCAAGGCAAGTCTGCCATGTGTGTCCTGAAGTGTGACACACGGGAGGCTCCATCTCTGCAAAAAGTCTGGCAGGTATGTAATAATGAAAGAACATTTGAATAAAACCCCACAGCATCAGCAGTGGGAGAGAAACTCCCTGACAACCCCCATGACTGGGTGCACACTCAGAGCCTGGTGCTGAACACACCTGGGTTGGCCAAGAGGCACCTCTGCTCAGCCACTCCAGTGTGGGGAGAAGTCCCTATGTCTGGCTGACTCTTTTTCCAAGGAGATTTGAAATTCAAATTTCCCGTCATTAAAAATCATCTTTTCCCCCCACTGGGGAGATGGTTTAATCCATATTCCAGGAGGTATAACAGCACTTTGCTGGCTGGTTTAATCAGCATAATACTCTTCTCTCTCCTGTCATTACAGTGCTGGGTTCCTCTGATTGTCATTTTGATAAATGGTTATCTCAGCCCAGGAGGGTCTGCATTTCAGCAGGGACTGAAGTGAACTGAGCCCCTGAAGAATTATGGGCTCAATTCCCAGGCATGCTGAGTTCCCCCAAATTGCTACTGACATCAGCACCACACAGCATGGTGGGTCTCTGCACTTGGCAGGGCTGAATTCAGACTCAATGAAAACCCATGAAATACTAAAACTAGCAGAAATAATTCTATAAATGAACAGAAGTTCTGCCACCTAAGGAATAAGGAAAAAAAAATTTTTGTTTGCTTTATTTGATTCTGGATGCAGGAGTCACTTCAGTGGGAAATATCAAAGGCCTGTGTTTTGACAGAAAAAATCAATTTGCAAAGGACAATTATCACCATTCTGTTTTGAACTGCAATGATCCTTGGTAAGGCAATAGGTGAGGGAAATCAAAAACATGAGGGTGGGAGGAAGATCAGAGACAAGAAGGATTGCTCCCAGCAATCCCACTGTCCTGATGTGCCATTGGCACTCCAATATAAGATTTCAAAGACATTGCTGCAAAATGTCATTAAAATCTTCAAGGAAGAGATTTAGCAGTAATTAAAAAAAATGATAAGAGATGGCATTTCATGCAGCAGATCACTTTGGGTTTCTAGGTAAAAACTAGTGGAACAAAACAAAGTGTGTGATCGTTCAGTATTATAAAAACCTCACCATAAAAATAGCATGCTTGGCAAAAGTGACAATTTGGGTCCAATAACTGAGCTATCAAATACAGTTACTGAAGGGGTAATTTGGGTAATTTAAGTCTGCTCTGGGAAAATGAGGATTAGGAAGAGGCATAATTAAAATATGCGAAGCCAGGGGGAATAGAGAATAGATATTAAGTCACTTTAAATTAGTAATTCACGAGAGAGTGTAAGGGAGAGAAATGGATGAATTATGCTCTGAAAAGGCCCTGATATTCCATTGTTGCAGAGAGAAAACCTAATCAGAGCCTGAGTGCATCTCATACGTGCACAAAAATTAGACAGAAGGATTTAAGAGCTATATTTTGTAAAAAAAAAAAAATGCATCTTTTCAGCCTGGCAGGGCTCTGCCATCTCAAGTGTCCATCTACCTTGCAAATTCCTCTGCTTCCAGGTGCCATAACGGGGCCGCCCGTAGCCGAAGGCTGAACTCCTGTTCTTGACCTGCTGGCTCCTGCTGTCGCCTGAGGTGCTGGAATCTGTTTGCTCTTTCCTGTGGCGCTTGATGATGTCATCTAGAATGAAATGACAGAGGAGAATTCCATGGAACCTGCACTTTCTACCAACAGGGATTCCCTCTTTTGGTGCTTGCAACTGTCCATCGTAAAAATGGAGCTGGCTGTTCTGTGAGCTACTCTGGACAGACAATAAAAGATTAAGCTTAGCTTAGAAAGTATAGGATCAATTTACTCGGCCTTTGCAGGCTGGAGATTAGAGTCCAGCAAATGATTTACAAATGTGCTACCATCCAGCACGTCCCCACCATGGGCAGGACAGAGTTCTCAGTGAGCTGGGCCGAAATCAAGGGGGTCTTCTTAATTCAAGCTGTTCTGACGAAAAGGCAAGGCAAAAGGGAAAGGACCTCTCTTCATTAATTCCTGCTTTCCAACCAACAGTTTCTTCTTTTAACCTCAAACCTCCCAGAAAACACTTAGCAAGTAATAAAGTCACATCTGTGAAGCCCCAAGCAGAATGTTTAGCAATGAATGAAGTGTCCCAAAAACAGGTCCAGACAGTGGATACTCCAGCTCCTTAATGTATCACTGCAGTGAATCAGTGAATGTGTCACTGGAGTGGAAGGACAGAAGTGCCATTTGCTTTCAGTGGGTGCTTACCACGAACCATCACACCCCCAGCGCTTGTCCCTTGCCGTTGTCTATCAAGAAACTCCTGAGTCCAAATAAATACAAAGCCCAAAGAATAGAAATTAAAATCGATGTAAGAACAGGCTGTGTGACTGCTTTTGTGATTTCTCTCTCAAGCCTGCCAGGAAGAGAGCAGGCTGGGAGAGGCCAGGCCATGCTCTCGGGATGAATGCACTAATGTTCTCAGCTAAGTGTGCCTTTGGGACATGTGTGATTTGGGGCACAGGCTGATCCGAAGCACATCAACAGCATCCCGGCACGCTCTGCAGAGAGGTGACCCCAGGCATCTGAGGGTGGGCTGCCACAGCACGGGGAAGAGCTTGATGGGAGCCAAGAGGAGCTGAAAGCTCAGGTGCCTGGTCTGTCAGCTTTCAGTGTATTTTTTTTTTTTGTTATTTAGTTAGCTGTTACCTTGCCTTTTGTGCCTATGAATATGATGGAGTCAACAGAGCGATGTAATGGAGTACTCTGAGAGGCTGGAAGGGGTCCTGAGAGGTCATTTATGGTACACCTACACCTCCAGGCAGAATTAGATCTATGAGGGCAGCTTTAGAGCAACTCCTGCAGTTTTTTGGGACTGCTAACTCCAGTAAGGCCAAATGTATCTGAAAGCACAGAAGAAGCACCTGTCAGAAAAAAGTTCCTCATCAGGGCTCTTGTCTTTCAATTCTCTCTTCTACCCTGAGTAAACTGTATTCGGGATGGAATATGGATTTGGACCACAGGAGGTCTGACCAAGGGAAGCACTAAGGGGAGCAAAAGCAAAGGGGCCATCACAAAATTTTTTTCTAAAAAAAATTATTAGCAAAAAGGTTGTGCAACACCCTGGGAGAAAAGTAAATCAAAAATGAGGGAATCACTGCTGCTATAACTCTTCACAGAACCATTAAAACACGGGTGCATCAGCCAAGGCATCAGTTTGAGTTTGCAGCGGAAAATGTTCTGCTGTTCCTGACAAATGGCTCGTTGCTGGGAAGAAATGACACAAGGTTTCAGTCGGGAAGCTGACCCAACAGTAAAAGGTGCTCGTGGACTTTCCTCCCACAGCAGAGACGCCAACACGATAATCCACCAAGATCCCCCGTCCGTGCGTCAGGATCCAGGCCCGGGGAGTTCATGACAGGGCGGTTGTTTATGCACAGTTCACATTCCCGGTGCCAAAGGAATGGCGAGCATCGGAGCGAGCTGCTATAAATAGCGGCAGGGCGAGGACGCGGCTCCTCTCCCGCTGTCACCGGGGGTGCTTTGCGGGAGCCCCCCCCCCAACTCCCCTCCGAGTTACGGGGCTGCTGCCAGCGCAGCCCGGAGAGGGGTTCGCGGCCGGGATCCCGCACACACCTTCCCCGTCCCGCCCGGGGCCATCCCCAGAGGGGGACGCGGGGAGACAACACCGCTCTCTGCCCGCCCCATCCCGCACAACCCTCCCTGCACGGAGCCCCCCCACCCCCTCTTCCCCGGGCTCCCTCAGCCCGGCCCCGGCAGCGCCCCCCGCACCTACCCAGGGACATGTCGATCTCCTCGGCCCCCGGCTGCGGCCCCGCCGCGGGGCCCGGCGCGGGGAGCGGCCCCGCCGCCTCCATGGGCTCGGAGCGCCTCAGCCTGCGCCCCGCGCACTGCGCCTGCCCGGAATGTGCGGCCGCGGCCCCGGCCCCGCACCGGCCCCCGCCCGCTCCCCACGGCCCTCCTGCCCGACCCTCTCTCCGCCCCCGGCTTTCCTCCCTTTCTCTTTTCCCTTTCTCCTCCCCCGCCCCCGAACCCTTCCCCTGTGGGGTGCAGGCCAGCAGCAGATGTATCTCAGACGTTATTTAAGCAGTTACTTCTGAGCGATGTGAACGGCTGGGTGACCTCGCCTCGTTCTGCAGATAAGGCAAACAAGGCGGCTCTCCGCAAACAAAGATACTCTTGGCTCGTGTTCGTGCGGGATGTTCTCTGTTTGTGAGCGCCTCGAGGAAGAAGCGCCCGTTCGGAATCTGGTCTTTCACAAAAGTCAGATTCTTCAGGGGATCTTTCAGTCTCTGTGTCGCGTTGGTTGTGGCACCGGGGCTATTCTACAATTAGAATGCAAACTGTGAGCTAAACCATCTTCCTGCTTTTAAAGCCAGATGAAAAGGAAAAAAAGAGATGGGGAAACAATCCCTGCTCTTCCAAAGGGCTGCTGTGCATCAAGTGAAGAGCATGCTTTTTTCTGAAGTTTCCATGTGATAAATGCTCTGGAATAATCTTCCACACCACGTACATAGGGGCCAAAGAAATCTCGTACAATGGCCTGATGTTTTACATTTTCAAGACAGTTTCTTTTTCCCAGTGTGCACTTCAAATAGGAAAGAAATTTCTACATGCAGATCAATGAGGGCAGAGAACCTCCTGGTATGTGTAAAGCTCTTAGCAAGATCAAGTGCTCCAGAAAGTGTTGGTTTAGGAAAGTGTTCTTTCATGAAAGAAAAGAACAGTGTTGAGAGACTAACAAATAACCTCTGCTATCTTTTGCAGTGACACTGCAGAGTGATCATTAAAGCAGTTTAATGTGAAATGTCAAAAACCAGGGTCATGATTCTGCAATCAATTTTGCAATGTTGTGTGAAATGCAAGGTGTGCTGGGGGTGCTATACTCTCTGGGGAGCCCTGGCTCTAATGCCCCCTAGTCCAAGAGCTTTCCTCCAAAGAGCATCCTTAACATTTCTGAGCAATTTAGCCAGAGCAGCCAGGGAAGTTGTGGCTGCTGGGAAAGGGCTGGAAGTATCCATGTAAGCCCAGCCTTTAGCAACAGACCGTGAGAGGAGGTTTATAGCAGTGTGGTTTTCTAGCACTTACTAAGGAGGGTGTTGTTGCCCCCACTCTGGGCAGTGTCCTGAGCTGTGAAGCAACAGCTGCCAGGAGCTGTGAGGGAATGACTGCAGGAGGGGTCTGGACTCTCCTCTGGGTATTGGCCAGCCCTGTGCTGAATGACCCAGCTTTCCTCACGGGGCAGCAGCTGGAGATGGTCCTGCTGTGGGACAGTGTCATGAAAGGTTTCGTGGCTTTCTGCAAAATCTTACATGCTTGTACCTTCAGAAAACCTGAAAGAAACGGCTCAGAGTTTTCCAGCAGTGTTTTATTTGATCACGTTTAGTGAAACAAACATTTGAGATCAAAGAAGGGAAAAGGCAGGATTTAGAAATGCCAGCTTCTAAAATATTAGGTATTTTCAAAGGACATTTTTTTTTTCATAGAACTACAATACAGCTTTTACTGCAAACCCTGCTTCACCAGGTGAGAAGTTTAATTAGCTGCTTTCCTTCAAGTGCACAGCATTGAAAGCAGAGATAAAACCTTTCCAAGCCGTATTTCTGCATCTGGAAAGTATGAGCTGATATGTACTCTGTTATCTCTCAACTGCCAGTCTGACTCTTAACATCTTGGCAAATGTCCCATTTGCTTAGCATGTCCTTAGCACTGCCATTATCTCAGTTCTGAGCAATTTCTCACATTAACAGTGTAGGTGACATGCTGGAGTTGGTGAAAAGGCCTGAAGAGCCAGAACCTCCTGTAAAGCATAATCCCCCTTCACTGGAGAGGACTGCAGGTGTCTGCATCCTAAGAAACAAATGTCAGGAATGTGACTTTCGCAATGGAAAGGTAGGATTAGCAGAAGAACAGTGAGAAAATTGCACTTTCCTCTAGAACTGATTTGTGTTGACTCACTGTGGCAACAAGCCTCAGACTGAGCCTTCTAAGAACACTGGGGCACCTCTGCCAAGGTGCCAGGTATTCCTTCCCCTTGCGAGGCACAGGCATAACCAACTTGTTCACAAAGAGCAAGTGTTAATTAGGGTCAGTGGGCCTTTCAATTTATCAGATGCTCTTCTTGTCACATAATGAAACCCCAAGGAACCCCAGAAGGTTTTTAGCTGAAACTAAATAAAAATAGAACTCAGTGGGAGAAGTGAACACCTGTCAGCGATCCAACACTTGTATCATCTGAAATGTTTTCTCAGCCTCTCAGTAGATTTAGTCAATCTTCTACATGTTAAATAACTTGTGATGATTTGTTGTTGCGATAAATCTTACACCATGATCTAAAAATTAACGCTGGCCACTTTGTTGTTCTCAGGGGTACCTCAAATCACAGTTATTTAATGCAAAATTGCAAAATATGTGACCATTCTCTTTCAGTGAAATCCACCCAAAACTACATGACTTGACTGCTAATAAATGTTTTTTCTTGGAAACTAAGGCTGGGTGGCTGTAGGAATATGTATCAAGGAAAGATTTAGCATCTGCATGTACACACCTGTATCTGAGGGCATGGAAGCTCTCCAGCCTCTCCCAGACTTGCTCAAAGCACAAACAAGTGCTTATTTCAACGGGCCAGAATTCTGATCACTTCTATGACACTCTGGATTTTGCCCACAAGGGGGGTGTTTAGGCCTTTTAATTTGTGAGAACCACAGGCCCATCAGCTCTTCAGGAGCCACACTGGTAGCAGCACAGCTTCGATAGTTTGCTCCAAAACTGGTGAACCACCACTAAAAAGAACTTGTGTTTTATTGTTAGATGCTGAACATGGTCTTTTAACCATATGTCACCACTTGAAAATCACCTTCTAGAGATGAAAGAAAACAAAACTCTTCTTTGGGCTTTCTGAAGAAAAGTATTTCTTTATTTTACCAATTCCCAGAATGAGCTACACTGATGAATGATAGTTCAGTTTTTATGCAGAAGTTCTGACTGGATGATATGAAGTGGCTGAGGTGCACACGTCCTTGAGCTCTGCTCAGAGAAAACAACTGCTCAGCCACAGATAATGACCAATTCCATGCTTGGCTTCTTACACATTTAGCACGTGCAGCCTGCCTATGGTAAAACTGCAAGGTATTTAAAGTGGTGCTGGCGTTTTCTGTCTCTCTGTATGTGCATTGAAATTGCAATCTCATGTGAAACTACTCTTACGATACCCATAAGTACCTCTGTACCTCTGGACTGTGCAGAAAGTCCCCAAAGTCATCCCATAAAAATCCATGTGTACAGGATGACAGGGAGTTGGTAGCTTCAGTGCAATCTGTAAATATAACCAGTAAATGAAGATCCACAGGTACACCACATGCTGCTTGCTGTCGTGGAGTAGTTCCAGTTCATGCTGCTTTTAGAACTCCCTCAATATTAAACTTCCACTGAAAGGGCTACATTTCTAAGCTCACCAAAAAACAAGCAAGGCAAGTGTGGTACTGCACAGCAAACAAGTTATTCAAAATGGAATAAATGGACAAATCCTGTTTGAAATCAGACCAGAATGATCCAGTAAAGGACAAAGGCCTCTGCAGCACCACAAGGAGTTATTTCCAGTGCATGTAGTTGGAATAGGTGGTGCTTGACATGCTTGAGGGGAGGTGCTGTCCTCCCCCCTGCCTTTAGAACTGTATTTTCTGGTGCTCAGAGAAGCATTGCTTGCTATGCAATGAATAGATGCTCCCAGCGGGAAAGGTACCAGGAATCTTCCCATTAATGGATGTGATCTCTTGTTGTGGTCTGTACAAAAAGACTGTTGAGAACAGATGTTGCTCCCCAAAGCAGCTGAACAGAATGCTGCTTGCTTCTCTTCTATTCAAGCATCAGAAGCTGGAGTATTTTGAGCTATTTCTAGCTGTTTAAAATTTCAGATAAATGACTGCCCTTTAGCATGGACAGGGTGTCATTTGCTTCTTGACCTAATTAGGAATATATGTATAGTTTTCTTGCTTTGCTTTCAAAGTGAGCCAGATGATGCCACTTTAGTATGAACCTTGAATCCGGGTATTTGGAGATTATTTTAACTGCCTGTGGGAAGCTGTGGACACTGGCAGGTCTTGAAGAAAAAAAGCAGTATCCATGAGGAATAGAGCATGCAGTGACATGCAAAGTAAGTGCAAAGGAATTGAAGAGGCATCAAGGAGATGGCACCAGGATCCTGGGAGTGTTGAAGTAACAGTGACTGTGTTATCTCAGTACCTCACCCACGGAGGAGGACTGAGGCTACTCATAGAGAAGCACATCAAGAACAACAGGAAAACTCTAGGGTTTAATTGCTTAAAGCAAGAAAATCTCCAGAGGATGCAAAAAATGTCAGTGCTGACATCTCAGGAGGATTTAATTTCTCAAAGTAAATGGCAATCTAGACTGCAAAAGCCCTGCTGTGTGTTCAGCTTGAGTGCTTACCTCAGGAACACCGAAAGCTTCAGGGGTCTGTGTGCTTTCCACAATCCCTGTTGCTTGGCCTCAGGTGCCCGGAGCTTGTGTGGGCGTGTCGAGGGAACATCACCCTGCACAACACCCTGGGCGGCACCTCAGCTGTATCACTGTGCTCTGATGTCCTTCCCACGCCCTGCCCTGCCCTGCCCTGGGACACAGCCTGCAGCACACGCTGCCGGCTGTCGAAGGCAGCGGGGAGAGATCAGGGGCTCCACTCTCGCTTCCCCTCTGTCACAATCAATATTACACCGACCTTTCCAGCACAGATGGGCCTCTGTGGCTCCCTCCAGAAGGCAGTGCTCTGGGGACATCTGGAGCTGTGAGCAGTGATGCTGAGCAGGGGTGACAAGAGCTGTGGGAGCAGCACAGGCAGAGCAGCAGGACGGGCACGCAGCTCTCACTCACACTTGCTCTGAGCGTGGCTTGGGCCAACCGTCCTTGCAAGGCTTGTGAGCAACCACATCTTGCACTCCCCACTGGAAATTAGACAGATCAAAGCCTGATCTAGATCTCATTCCTCCAGGCATTAACATGAGCTGTAAAAGCCTGCTGATGTCATATCTTTATGAGGTTTTCTCTCGTCTGGAGCAGATATGGGTAACCACAAAGACTTTCAAAGTGGAAGCTGTTCATGGAAGTGTGGGATTTTCAGAAATGTTCAAACTCCTGAAGCATCGGCTCTGTCTGGCATGGAACCAAGAAAACACCTTTGTCTTGTGCAGTCTCCTGACAACATCTGAGCATTTCCACCTCTTCCTGTATGCATCTTAACTGCCATAATAAAGAAGAAAATGCAACCATCTCTGTTATATGGGAGAAACTGAGGGATGAAACAGCTCTGGCTTACTGCTTATTATGCCAGGAAGGTTGTTTTGGGAAGCCTTCTGCCCCTAGACTAGTGACTCTGGTTTTGCTGGTGAAATTACAAAAAAGGGGGGCATGGGGAGAAAGAACTGTTGAAAGGCTGTGAAATCCCGTATAAATAAAAGTAATTAGACTTTAGTGGTCCAGACATCTGTTCTGATTCTGCAGCTATTGGAGGTGATAAATGACCCCCACAGGTAAATCTGCTCCACCACAGGAACGTGCAGTCAGTTTTCAAGCTTTTGCCCGAGTGAGCAGCAATTTGCTCCAGACAGTTTGCAAATTGGGGATTTTTGGTTAGCTGTTAGGAAAAGCCTCAGACGTTGCTCCCAGGCTGTTGTAGGGGACACTCCAGTGCCTCTGAAGATGTGAACGTGTGTCTGAGCAGACTGAGCAAGCTGGGTTTGCTCCTTAGTACGAGCACCTGCAGGCACAATGAGCATTTGGTTGAAGATAAAAAGGTCCTCTCGTACCTGAGGACTCCAGCGTGACAAAATGGTGTTTTGAGTCTTCTTCTGACAATTTGTCGGGCCTGTTTCACCCAAAGAGAGCTGAGCCCCTTTCCCTGTCCAACTTGTGCTCTGAAGAGCGAGTGGCTGAGTGATGTGGCTGAGAGGGAGGACAGCAAATCTGCAGCTCTGAGCTGGCCCTGTGCCAAGACACCCGCTTTGGAAACTCAGAGCAACTGGTTCTAACATTTAGTAGAATTTAGATGCTGGAGCTGGTCCTGGCTGCTGCTCTGCCTCACTCCTGCCAGCTGCAGAGGCACTGTACCTCCTGCTCCATGTCTGCAGGCAAAATCATCCTACACACTTGGCCCGACACCAGTCTGGGTTTATTCACCCTCCACCCTCTCTGGCTGGAACCTCAACCGAGGGCAGCACTCAGCAGTGTTTATAGAGGTTTGTCTGATTTTCTTGCTGTGAATCCAAGGAACAATCAGATTTTTCAGGGCAAGAGCAGAAGCTCTGGCCCAGGCAGACTGATTGGTAGTTATCTGTAAGCTTGAATCCCACAGCCCGTACACGTAGCCAAGGTTAGAGGAAGCAGACAGCCACAGTATTTGCAGGTGACAATGGGAGCCCTTTCCCCACCACACCTGCACTTTGCACAAAGGAAGGGGAATCTGTTTGCTGTGACATGGTGATCCCAAAGTCCATCCAACACTGCATCGATGGATTGAACCCTTCATTCTTTAGTACATTCTTACTGATCCTGGCTCGTTTGATTCTACGGAATTTCAGCCAGACATCCCCCAACACAATATTTCAGGGCTGTTCCTCTTTCGACTGATAATGGCTCAGCTGTCTCTCACTGGCATGTTGCTGACTGAAGGGCAGTCTCTTCCATACTGCTTATAGACAGAATTTCTCTTAGATCCCCAGAATTAGGCATGATATATGCATGCAAAAAAACCCAAACCACAAAACAACTCAAGAATTCAGGGACTTCAGGAGGATGAAGCCATAAAGGCAGATTCTGCTTATCAAACCCAGAGCAATTCCATGAAAAAGTGGGTCTGTGAGCCTTTCTTCAGCATGTCCTAATCGTGCCTCGAGAGTAATTTTTCACAGATAAGTATGTAGCACCTAACACGTACAGATTACATGGTAACAAAGGCAATTATCCATCCATATGGTGTTCCAGCAGTCGTGTAGCATTTTCTTCACGTAACTGGGCCCCGGACATTGCAACCAGCTCCTGATTTACGCCTCACCACTTCCCTTTCACATTCTGAGTCACAAGCATTCGCGTCTCTGAGGTTTTTGCGAGTGTTCCCTAACCCATTTCAGGGTGACCCCCGCACTCCCATTCCCTTTGTTCTGCCATGGACGACTCCTGGCTGTATTTTCCCTGCCGCCAGCGGGGATCCCTGGCCGGCGCTGTCCTTACGGGCTTTCAAGGCAGAAGCGATGGATGGTGTGATGCACCTGGCGCAGGAGATCTTAGGGTGAGGAGCGGCCGGGGGATCAGCGGTGCCGCAGACCCGACCCCAAACCTGAGCGGTGCCTCAGGGAGGGGGCGCAGCCGATCCGCCCCGGGCCGGGCAGGGACGCGCTCCCACCGGCGTTGGGGCTGCCCAGCGAGTGTTTTCCATGTTCTGTCGCCTCTGAGCCCGGCTGAACCCCTCTGAACCCCTCTGAACGCCCGGCCCGGCTGCGGGACCCCCGAGTTCCCGGGATTTTCCCGTCCCCGGGATCCCCCCATCTCCGCTCCCGCCCCGCTCCCTCAGCGCCGGCAGCGCCCCCTCGCGGCCCCCCGGGCACCGCCTCGGGGAGGCCACGCCCCTCTCCCCGGCGCCGCCGCGGATTGGTGGGAGCGACCGAGGGGCGCTCGGAAGCCCCGCCCTCCCCGCGCGCGGCGCCCCCCGCGGGCCCCTTGGCGCGTGCGCGGCGGCGGCGGGGCGGCCCCGGCCGTTGTTGTGGAGGGGCCGGTCAAGATGGCGGCCGGGCAGGGGGGCGGCGGCGGCAACAACGGGAACGGCGGCGGGAGCGGCGCGGCGGGGCTGGGCATCCCCGGCCACCTCACCCTCTCCTTCTCGGCCGGGCCACACTGGGGCGCGGCCGCCCTGCCGCAGCCGCACACGGTGCGCAGCCTGGAGCGGGCCCTGGAGGAGGCGGGCAGCTCGGGCATCCTCTGCCTCAGCGGGAGGAAGCTGCGCGACTTCCCCGGCAGCGGCTGCGACCTGAGCGACACCACGCAAGCGGGTGAGGGGGCTGCGGCTGTGGCGGGGATGGGGCTGCGGGGGCCGTGCGGGGCGGGGGCGCGTCCCCGCTGTGGCGGCCGGGGACGGGCGGTGGGGGGTGCGGGCCCCGCTGCGGGGGCTGCAGCGAAGGGGTCCCTGTGGTGACAGGGCAGCCCTGCGGGGACTGCGGGAGCAGCTGGGGGGGTGACGAGGGAGCGGCTGCTCCGGGTGAGGAGCCTTGGTCCCGCTGTGTGAGGGCAGGGGGGTCAGTGGGGAGGCCCCACGTTTTGGGGGGGGGCTCTCCCTGGAGGCAGCGGGACGGGGGTCTGCAGGATGTGGGGCTGCAGTGGTGGGGGCTCCCCCTGCGCACACTGGGGGCGGTTCTGCCGTGGGTGTCTCGGGGGAGCGTCCCTGCAGCTCCGGGCTCTGAGCGGGGACACCCGGTGCTCTGCTCTGGGCCAGCGGAGCGGGGGCTCCTGGGGAGGAGGGGGACGAAGAGCCCCAGCAGCGAGAGGCTCTGTCTGTGTGTGTGAAGGCACAGGGCTCTGTGTGTGTGTGTGTTTGTGCCCCGAGCAGGGTGTGCAAAGTGAATGGAGCTCTTTATTGGCGCTCCGGGGAACCAGAGCTCCGTGCTGTGGTTGGTTCGTACCTTCAGGGCTGTGGGACCCCTGGCAGTGGAGCTGCATCGCCTGGGCTCTTCGGATCGGTCCTTCTCCTCCGCTCAGCGCGAAGATGGTTCCAAGCGCGGGTGCGAGGGATGTGTGCGCATCCAGCGGTGTGTCTGGAGAGCTCGGGGTGTTCACGGTGTTGGTAAAGGCTTGGATGTCGTGAGTGGGCCGGCATTCACCCAGGCTTGTAGGTGAAGGAAACATGGAGGCCTTTTTTTTCTGCAGCTCTTAGAAAACAAAGCTGCATTTCCCACGAGCTCGTCGCTGATGTGCTCGTGGGTTTATTTGGTGCTGGGTTACTTACTGAAAATGGATCATTTGGAGTAATGTGCTAGAAGAAAATATTATTGAGAGGCCAAGGTCTTTTGTTCACAAGTAGTAGTGGTTTTCTGCAGTGTTGTTTGGGTGAATTAATGCTGGAGGTTTTTTTGTTTTGTTTTGGGCCTTTTCTTTCCTGATGAGTTATGAATTACTGGTGTATTGTTTTGAATAGGAGACTGCCCACTGTGGTACCTTAAAATAAAAAGAGGTTCCATGACATGATAGAAACTGGAGTTTTCCTTGTAGTAGCATAAAATGTGTTTAGTGATGTAATTGGTCACTGCTGTGTATAAATATTCAATAACTGGAGCATTAAGGGAGAAGCATTGTAGGCATATGGGCAACCTGTTATTAAAAAGGTTTTCTGTATCCTGAAGTGGGTGCATCAAGAATCGGTATTTTTTGTTTGCTTCTAATTATTACTGTTTGTATTTTGGAAGGTTTTTGGTCGTTTCATTTTGAATCTTGACAGTTGGGTAAGAGCTGTCTGCAGTGATCTTGTCTTTCTGTTTTAGGATGTAGCAGAGACCAGTCAGTGCCTCAGGATGGAATTGTTACTGTGAACAATGGTGTGAGAGTGTTTATGGGCAGTCTGACAGAAATAGCTTTACTGCTTGCTGCTGTAGGATTCCCTACTGAAATAGCTGATGTGGGCCTGTGCAAGTGCCACCTGATAACAATCCTGATTAAATGTAGCCCTGGTTTATGAATAGATCCTGAGAAATACAAATTTTAGATGTTTTTCAAAAGCTGCTTTCAAGCAAAAGATTTGTAGTTTCTATTTTAACTTGATCTGTAGAATTTTTTGGTTGGTGGGTAAATGGTGTTCTGTTGGTGAGTCTTGGACATCCTTAACAGAGTGTCAGTGTGGCCTGGAGCGTAATGGGAGATCAGCAGCTGCCTCAAAGGCAACAGTCGTGTAGTTATTGGCATTTTTGTAGCAGTTATCCCCAGGGACAACGTTCTAGGTTGAGGCTGAGCTGTAGGATATGAGGGTTGGATCAAAGCTCTATAGTGTTTCACTTTCTGTTTTAAGTCAGTGACTCTGAATTTCGGTTTTGTGGTACTTGAAACAAACATTTAAAAAATCAGCCTAGAACGAATTTGGATGTAAACAAATTTTTTTCCCTATTGCCAACCCTTATGCAGTAGGATCTGTTACTGTAAACCCAGAATATTCTGCCTTTATACCAGTGAAGTCAGCAACAGCAATGCTGAAGCACAACTGCTGTTGATTTATCAAAAATAACTTGGGATTTTATTTTGCATCTAACTTATGTAATGGCTTGCCAATACTTAATTTGCAATTGCAGTGACATACTTTTTGCATCTTAAATTATGTGTCAAAAATTATTGCTGAGCTGAAAGCACAGTGACCATATCTGACTGTTTAGCTCCTTTTTTTTTTTTTTTTAAATGTGAATTGTCCTTGCAGCACTTTATGCAAGAAATCCTTATTTTATTATTTATCTGAATTTGTCTTCTGGCTGTTCGAACAGATCTTGTGCTGCTGTTAATGAACTTCTGGAAAAAAAAAGTAAAATCATAGGCCTTGAGGTATCAAGAGGTATCTTGAATATTCCAGTCATTTTATGAACATGTGGAATTTTGCTTCTCTCTCTGTGAGCAACGTTAGGCCCCCTGGCAGTTAAGTAATTGAGTCTATCACATCAGTGTAATCACGGTCTGCTTAGCTGGGGAGTTGGGTGCTTGCTGGTTTGTTTTTCTAAGGCAGGTCCCTGTGCTGTATTGCCATGCTGAACTAAGCCAAGCTGTGCCATTAGTGATTTGCCCTCTCTTAGTGAGCACTTCTTACAACATGAACTGGGTAAATGTGGAAGGTGCTTGACTGACAGCTCAAGATACCATTTGTGTGCTCTGGTTAATGCAGTGGAGCCATCAGGCTTCCTTGGTTGTGGCTTTGTCACAGCAGATCTGATTCCCACTCTTTAATTCTGAGGGAACTTCCAAGCAATTATAAGTAAGTGACTGATTGTCTATAAATAGATTAATGATTAACTTTGAAGTTTCTCCTTTCTCACCACCTGCTTCCTCTTCATATCTGAAGAGTAACACCAGTGTATTTCCAGTGTGACTTCAGAGCCAGCTCTCCTGGCATGGGCAGGGCAGGAAGAGTTCCCACCTTGAGATCCCTGTGTGTCTGAGGGATGGGAGGACATAGCCTGTTACAGATACCATTATCAGCATTACCTGCATGTCTCTGATTTTTTTTTTTTTAATCTTATTTCTGGCTTTTCTAAGGTATATAGTCATTCAAGTGATTACAGATTAAACCTAACAAACCTATGGCTTAACAGTGAGTGGCAAATGACAAGAATGTTAATTTATAATGCTGTTCTGCCTCTCCAGCATACACTTCTAAACCAAGTATGCTTTCCTTTCTGAATGAAGTTATTTTTGTTTGTGGTGCCAGTGTTGATTGAATGAATGATGGCAGGTAACTGAAGAGCAGCAGCAGATTCCAGTATTCAACTACAGAAATTAACATTCATCTATGATGTGTATCTTAAACCTAGATTACATTCTAGAAATCAGGCATATTGCAAAACATGGTTCTTCAGTAGCGACTCTTTCAGATTTGCATGAAGAGAGAAACTCAGATTCGATGGTTTTTTGGGAGGGAGGGGTTAGTCTTTGTGTTCAGAAATGCATCTGCTGTAAAATCTGGAAGTGACACAGTTTATAAACAAGTAATTGTGGAAATTCCCCCCAGTGTTTTCAGAACCTGCCCAGTGTTTGGGCTGAGGGGAAATGAGCTGGGTGTGCTTGAGGCTTTTTTGCTGAAGGCCAGTTAATACAGATCCTTGTTAAGGATACTTGGTGTGATGGGCAAGTTGGGAGAAGTCTTAGTTCAGTGAGTTGAAGGTAAAACAACTAATTATTAGTTTGTCTACCTAGAAGGATTGCATTATGAACAATATCACTTATATCTTAATTGTAAAAACCCCAGATTCTGTGTCACAGCCTCTGAAATACCAACAAGAAACGTGTGATGTGCAATTTGTTTACTTTTTTGTGTTCTCCATCAGAATTGAATTTGCCGTTGCATTGACTGTTTTTGTGCCTTGGAATATCCAACATTTATTGCTGTAATATGTCTGCCTTTGGTCAAATAAGGAACTTCTTGTACTATGTATTTCTACTTTGTTACTGATTATTTGCAGAGGGAACAAATGTATTTAAATCATAGACTGTATTGCAAAACCTTGTGTGATGAAGTGGAGTAGCCTTTGCTTTTTGAGGTATTCTTCTTGGTGAAATGTGTCTTTGTGTCTTCCCATTTGAGTTGTGAAGCTTGGCTGGAGTGGATACAAAAGTACATATTCATTTTCCCAGCAGGGCTGAAATCTGTCCTTAGCAAAAATGTAACAAAATCAGGGCTGAAGGCTGGAATTCCACAGAAAATGTGAAGATACTTGGTGCTTTTCTTTGTGTGTTAAAATTTGTACATGACGGTGTGAAGAGACTTCTGAGTTCTCTGCTTTTCTGTGGCTGTCCAGCAGTCTAATGTTCATCTTTCTTCCATCTAATCTGGGATTGTTTGCCACTTGCTAAGGAACCGTGCTGCCAGGTCTGTCAGATCTAGACAAGGTTGAGCACTTCAGGTGAAACTAAAAAAAAAAACACACCAGGTCTTAATCTCTGGTATAGACCTAAAATAGTTTAGTGCTTGGCAGACACGATCATCACACGTGTGCTCCTACATGTCAGTGTGTGATTCCTGAAAAAATGGGTTTGTGGTTCTGAGGCTTGAAGGAGCCCCTGCATCCCTGGCTCTTCATCAGCTGCTCAGCAGAAGGTGTAGCTGCACAGAGGGCAAATCCCTGACCATCTGGGTACTACACCAAACACTCTTCCAGTTTGTCACTTCACCTCTGTTTCAGGAGGTGGGGCAGGATGTGGTGGACCAGAACATGTTCTGTTGAAGGCTGACCTAGAACTAAACAGTTTATGGAAGGGTTTGCTTCGAGTCATTGCGTGCAGTCATGAGAGATATTGTAGAGTTATTTTG